AGAGAGAGAGAGAGAGAGAGAGAGAGAGAGAGAGAGAGAGAGAGAGAGAGAGAGAGAGAGAGAGAGAGAGAGAGAGAGAGGGTGCTTATTTCACGCATGGATTGGAGCGTCGTTCACAAAGTGAGTAATGGCTGACGTCAACTGGTTCGTGTTTCAGCCTGAGGACGAGGAGCTGGCCTGACCGGCGGTCATGATATGATGGGGGATAGGGCACAAAAAAGGGGGTTTTAACCAGGAAGATGGGTTTGGCACAAAGGATGTGGGCCTTCTTTTGGTGTCAGTGGGGGAAGAAATGGGCAGCACGGGTCAGTGGAGTTAAAGAGGTAGGCACAGTAGAAATTGCAAAGAGCTGTTTGGGTTCATGAGAACTGTCGAGTTCTCAAGAAGAAGAAGAAGAAGAAGAAGAAGAAGAAGGAGAGTGACAAGCAGTGGCCGCAGTTCCCAACGCAGATCGACCAGGTGCAGTCCCCCTGCCCTCGTCAGGGGACTTTCCACGAACCAGCCGTACGAGACCACGGTACCTTCTTCCCCCCACTACAACGTACAGTCATTAAACGTGTACTTGGGGTTATCTTTCCGTCTAAATACAGTTATTACAATGATCGTACGTTGTATTCGGGCGAAGAAGGTAGCAATCCACCACCGACTGAGAAGAAGCAGAGGGCCACAGTGTATAGCAAGGAAAAGGTTATGTGAATGGGGATTGAGGATATGGAGTATGAAGGAGAGGAGAAAGAGAACGAGCTGGGTGGTAATCAGCTGTCCCAGATGACGTGGCGGTTTGCATGCAGTTGAGCGTTTTTTTTTGACGCGCAAGAGCAAGAAGGAAAGAAGGAAAGACAGACGAAACGAAGAAACGACGACTACGAACGCTGCTGAAGACCAAGGATCGGTGTCTCGTGCGGGAATCATAATGAATGATGAACGTAAGTTGACATTCCCTTGAATTTCTTTTTCTGATTAAGTAGTAGTAATAATTTTTGTTCTTTCGGTTTTAGGTTTTTCCTGGGAGTGCAACGTGAGCAACCCCAAAAAAAAAAAAAAAAAAAAAAAAAAAAAAAAAAAAAAACCGTGAGCAACCAAATGGTAGTGGCTCCTATCAGTTCTGTTCACCATTTCGAATTTTTTGAAGCAGGGGATCTGTCCGTTTGTCCACCATTTCGATCTTTTGTAGCATGTACTCATACTAAGACTTCCGTACGTGACCGTAATTACGACCAGATTCTGTTCAAAAATTCCTATATTAGTAGTGTATACCCTTTTTCGCTCTGCTTTCTTCTGTCGTTCCGGCACAGTCTTAGTGGAAATATAAACGTAAATATAAATATAAATATAAATATAAATATAAATATAAATATACGTACGAGGAAAAAAAGGGGGGCGTTTTATCGTTTTGTCGTGTGGCCGATGCGTCTGCGGCTGAAATCAATCACAGCCCGTATGGAGCAATTAACGCGTGTTCGAAGCAATCAGGGCATGCATGTGGTTGTGCATTTAAGTGCATGATGATATGTTATATATATCGTCAAACAGACCATCGGCAGAGAGGGAGAAGTGGACCTGTAATCAACCAATCAACCAATCAACCAAGCAAGCAAGCAACCATCCAACCAACCAATCAGTCGATCAGTCAATCAATCAATCAATCAATCAATCAATCAATCGACCAATCAATCAATCAATCGACCAACCAACCAACCAACCAATCACCAACAAACCAGTCCACCAAGAAGTTACCAAACCAATCAACCAACCAATCAACCAATCAACCAATCAACCAACCAACCAACCAACGAATCAACCAATCAACCAACCAATCAACCAATCAACCAATCAACTAGGTAACCAACCAATCAACTAGGTAACCAACGAATCAACTAATTAACCAACGAATCAACTAATTAACCAACGAATCAACTAATTAACCAACGAAGCAACAACTAATTAACCAATTAGTCAGTCAAGAGATTGGTGAATCCCTTGTCTATTTGTTATGGATAGAGAGATCATTTCTTTTGTTATCAGTGCACTTGTCTATCATCCCTTGCAGCGGGTTGGGTTGGTTTAATTTTTGAATCACCAATTTGGGTATGAGTGCTTGCGCAAGGCATTTTGTGAAAAGTTGAAAAGACAATCCGGCAGCGAGAAAAGCCCTCGTTCCACCACTTGCTGCCAAGTGTAGAAATAATCGGCTGGCGTATCTGGCCAGAGATTCTGTGAAGATACATTCTCCATTTGGCACATTTTGCACATTTGGCGAGTGGTGTGACGAGGTCCAGATTGGTCAATCGATGTGTTATCCGTCGTCTAGTTTGATGAGATCTATTTCAGAACTCCATCTCGACAGGTCTGCTTGACACGTGGCCTACCTCGCACGCTTGTTTCAGTAATCGTCCGCATCCTTTCCCCCTCTTCTCCATACTTCTCCTCCCCTTTCCCCTTTCCCCCTCTTCTCCGTACTTCTCCTCCCCTTTCCCCTCTTCTCCATACTTCTCCTCCCCTTTCCCCTTTCCCCTTTCCCCTTTCCCCCTCTTCTCCATACTTCTCCTCCCCTTTCCCCTTTCCTTTTCGCCCGCCCGCTCCCTGTCCCTCCCTCCGCCTCCCCTAGCTTATTCCCCGGGTTTTCTCTTTCTTTCTTCTGCGATGCGTGTTTCCAACCCCCCCCCACCCCCCGGTCCCTTCCACCTTTCCTTCATCGAAGCGAGAGAACAGCGTCTGCAAGCGGGTTAGATTTCTGATCTGGTTCAAAGAGAAACCGTTATGTCCTCTTGATGATTGCTCTGGAAGACCAGAACTCCCTTCATTTGTGACGAGGGAGCTGTCGGAAATGGGAGTGAAGAGGAGATGGAGGAGCGTAGAGGCGATGAGATTGACCAGGGGAAGAGGGGAGGGTGAAAGGGGAAAGAGGAGGGGCAGAAGGACAGTAAGGGAAGGATGCAAGAGGATTAAAGCGACCGCACGAGGCGAGCAAGTAGATGATGAAGATGGTGATGATGAGGAGGATGAGGATGAGGATGATGAGGAGGAGGATGGGGACGAGGATGATGATGATGATGATGACGATGATGATGGTGAGGAGGAGACCGAAGCGCAGCTGGGTGGAGGAGAAGGGACGTGGGAGGAAGGAAAGGAGCTCGCGTGGGAGGACAAAGAAGAGAGGAAATGAAGCAGCGTATGGAGAGGGGAGATGATGAAGGGGGGGAGTGGACAATGCAGAAGCTTGTGGAGGAAAAGGAGACCGATTTCGTTGAAGTGCACTTTTTCAAACCTTGGCACGAAATTGTTAGNAAGCTTGTGGAGGAAAAGGAGACCGATTTCGTTGAAGTGCACTTTTTCAAACCTTGGCACGAAATTGTTAGGGCCCTAAGAATGGAGCATATGGTACAGAAGAGTGATCCACGGGTGGAACCATCATGCAGAAATCAAGGCCCCCTGATTTCCCGCCAAAATGAGGCATTTTAACGAAATCAAGCCCCCCCCCCTGATTTCCCGCCAAAATGAGGCATTTTAATGAAATCAAGCCCCCCTCCCTGATTACCCGCCAAAATGAGGCATTTTAACGAAATCAAGGCCCCTTCTGCTGTGTTTCTCTGTTCTGAGAGGGGTAGATTAATCAACAGGTGGAGTAGCAGGGGCAGGAGTGAAGCAATTTGGTTACGAGAGGACTTATGGGGAAATCTAGGGTAGACAGTGACAAAAGTAAAGTTTGTCAGGGACCTGGTGGGGATATTTCAGCAACTTGAGTAGGCCCTGAAGTCCCGCAGGATAGCAGGAAGGGTAATGATTGTAGTGGACTGCATGTTGACAGGATTAGCTCTACCGTCGGGTCCTGCAGGTGCTTTCCAGTCTCGTATGATGTTACTTGCCCAACAGAAGTGGCTGGAAGGCCAGGAGGCACCCGCGTGAGGTCGTAGTAGTTTCTGAGGTGCAGCAGGCCGGGTGGTAAGAGTACATACGATCAGGAGGAGAGCCAGGCCGATCGTCCACCGGGCAGTCATGCTGCTGGTCCGCCTAGAGGGACAGGTTGGTGGAGGATTTGGGTGAAGTGGAGGAGCAAGGGGGTGATGAAGGCGGCCTCCATGGCTATGGACCAAGGAAGGTGTGCTAGAGCGGTAGCCTTTGAGCTATGGAGGGACGTAGAAGAAGCCCACATTGGGGCTATGGGGTAGAGAAGACGG